TACAACATATATTTCCACACGAATATATCTAATATACAAGACTTTACTGAAAACATGAAAGATATTTTACAAATTTATAAAAATTTTATATCTGCAATATAACCTATAACAACATCTATGTTACAATATATATAACAAAATATGTAATTATGTAATATGTAATACATATTCTTATAATACATAGATTCACAATTATACATAATTCTATGTTTGTGTAAATATGAGACATATTTTTCTGTTTGCATACTCATATTTTCCTTTCTTCTCGTTTTTATACAAAGGGTGGCACTCTACGCTGTTCTGTGCCTTGATTTCTTTTTACTTTCACCAGTGTATCTCAGTTTTTCCTATTGTTACAAAGAGAGCTTGCCACTTTTTGAACAGCTGTTTGGATTCTGTTGTACAGTTATGACCTAATTTATTTAACCTGACTGCAGGATAGTTGAGTCCTTCACTACTGCAACCAGTGTTGGGTGCAAAGCCTTGCCCTTCGGCAGTTCTGCTGCCGTGTAAATGTACTGGCATAAATCCCCTGAAGCTGAATTGCTAAGGCAAAGGGCACATGCGTGTGTCGTTTCCGTAGAGATTTCCGAACTGCCTTCCAAAGCTGCTGCACCCCAGCCCCCCACCAGCTCTGTGGGCATGCCTGCACTCCCACTGTTAAATCTGCTCCGTCAAATTTTCCAAGATGAGAGTTGAGGTATAGCACCTTTGGGTAATTTTAGTTTACATTTCTCTTTTCGTGAACAAGGTAGAAAACGTGTTTTCCTTTGTTTAGGAGCCATTTGTAATAAATCAGAGTTTGTCAGGGCTCCAGATACATGGGGACAGTGTACTGAAACATGCAATAATTATTTTATGCATGATGATAATGATGTTGACGATGTAATGGTTAATCTTTCTTGCCAGTTCCTGTTCTAAGCCTTAACACGAATGTAAGTACCCCTCTCCAAAGTTCTGTGAGGTTGACAATATGATAACCATTTTCCAGGTGACAAAACCGAGGCATGGAAGGGCTAAGGAACCAAGGAAATGAGGTCTGAGAGGTGAGGACTGGCCCCGCGAAGCTCCGAGCTGCTACTGAGTGGCAGAGGCTGGTGGGGACGGGGAATCCAGGGTTCTTGGGTGGATTCTTTCCTCACAATCACCCCATTTCCTGAAGGAGGTAACTCAGGTTCGGAGAACCGTCCCAGAGGCTCAAGCAGACCAGGCTGGGAGAAGACGAACTCTGTCCCTGACCTGATCATGCAGCGGCTCAGCCCGAGAGAGAAAGGGGAGTCCTGGCTAAACTGGGGCTGCCATGGAGCCCTATCTGTCCCAGGAAGGCCCTGAATCAGTTGTAGCCAGGCTGCACTTCACAGGTAAGGGATACACCCCAGACTAGACAAGGACCCCTGAACAAATGAGCCTGGGGTTATTTTGAAAGCATCGATGATTTTGCAGGTATCGACGAACTGATTCTGGGATTTATATGGAGAAGTAAAAGACCCAGAACAGCCAGCACAATGCTGATGGAGAGCAAAGTTGGCGGACTTGACGCTCCCTGACTTCAAGACTTTACTAATACGAAAATTAATAAAGGGAAACCTCACTGAACTGGAGTCTGGAGGCCAGAAGGGGGAGCTCGCACGCCACCACTGCTTGGCAAGAACTGTCCTGTCCATCTCAGACCCCAGGGGAAGAATCCTCAGGGGGGAGGAATCGTCAACCACAGGCCCCAGCAGGGCAGGATGTGCCAGCATCTCCTGCCAGAAATTGGTTACCTGCTCAGCCAGTGGAAAACCCTCACTGCCCTCAACTCCGGCATTTCTCCAGTGGACAGACAACCCATCCCCACTTACTCCCCATAAAAATAAGATCCCTCTCCTTTGCTGGACTGGCCTGTGTTCTGCTGTAGCTGCTTGTCTTAATTTGCAATTCTCTTCTACTCCAAATAAAGCCATTTTTGCTGGTAAAATAACTGACTTTTATTTTTTAAGTTCAATACTACATACTGTATATATGCCATAATCAAAAGAGTGTGGTGTAGAAAAAACAGAACAAAAGACCAGTGGAACAAAACAGCTAGAAAGAGACCCACATAAAAAGTCAACTGATTTTTGCCAAGGGAACAAAAGTAATTCAGCGGAGCAAAGATAGTCTCTTCAACAAATGGTACTGGAATGACCGGACACCCGCATGCAAAAGAGTGAATCTAGGCACCTTCCACCCTTTACAAAAATCAACGCAAAATGGATCATGGATCTAGATATAAAACCAAAACTATAAAACTGGAAGAAGACATAAACAAAAATCCAGATGACCTAGGACTTGGCAATAACTTTAGAGATACACACACCACAACTTAGCAGAGTCAGGCCAGCCTCACGAACTTGGAACATGCAAACTCCGGGTGTGGGGGGTCCCCCAAAATGCCCCCTTGTCTGGAAAACTGCAATTCAGGGGTCATTTAAACTTTGAGCCTTGGCTTGCCCCTTAAGAAAAACCGGATAGTAGGTTATTAAATATTAGGATTAAATACTGTGTAGGGCAGGAGAAAGTGTTCTTTGAAACCTCTTAAGGGTCCCTGGCCGATCTGAAAATTAAGCTGACAAAGACAGAATAACAGAAGAAAAGCTTACAAGTTTATTTGGTCTAAGTTGTACGTGACATGAGAGCCTTCGTGAGGGAGTGGAAGCTGCAGGACTGAGCGTTTCATGTGAGATGTGCATGTTTTACGCCGTTTGATGTGTTCAATTTTTATTGGACAGTTACATCTCCAAAGCTGGAAAAGTAAATAAAAAATTCTTGCTCTTTCTGGAAAAAAAAAGACACACACTGTGTCCTAGACATGCAGTGACACTCATCAACCAAATCTCTCTCACACACAGACGCGCACACACTCGAACACAGGCACAGCAGCTGAGATGCTCTCGTGCCTGTAATGCAGATGCACCCTCCGACTTGCAAGCCTTATTTGACACACTGAGACTCCATCACACCGACACAAGAGCGTGCATACAAAAAGCTTCCATCACCGGGATCACGCAGCCAGTCACACTAACAAACTTGTACAAATAACAGATTTTGAGATAAACACAGAAAACACCGGACACACACCCACAAACACAGGGGCCCCTGCAGCCGCCGGGAGGCGCCCGCCCCCGCTGGGCTTGCCCACGGCAGGGGCCCGAAGCCTCGCTTGGTGCGCATCCTGGACGCCCGCGTGGGGCACTCTCACCACGTGCCCGGGACAGCCTTGCAGACGCCTCGGAGAGCTCAGGTGCGTGCCCCAGCCCCTGCCCTCCTCCCGCATGCACACACACACGCACACACACACACGCACACACACACACACACACACACACACACACAAGCACACACAACACAATCACACACACACAGAATGACACAATCACACAACCACACACACACACACACATGCACACACAACACAATCACACACATACACAATGACACATACAACCACACAGTCACACACATACAAATGTAATCACACACACAAATACACAACCACACACAATTACACACACATTCACACATACACAATCAGTCCACACACACATACACAATCACACACGTATACAGTCACACACAACCACACAATCACACACATACACAATCACACAATCACATACATACACAGTCATACACACACACACACACACACACTCATACACACATGCACTGGAGCCCTTAGAACACTGCCTAAGCCCCACTATAGGCAGTTCTCGTGCTGGCTACAGTGTTACTGTCGTCATAGGGTGAGGGTCCAGCACAGTTGATCATGCTGTGTGCGCACATGTGAGGGTGGTGCTGACAGTCACTGTGTGTCCCACGATCCTCCGGCCTCGTTCCCATGCCCCAGACACCCCTGAGTGGGCATCCGGACCCCTGTGCAGCTGCTGTGCTGCAGCACAAAGCTGCGGGACCTGCTGACCCTCCCTGCCAACCATGCTGCGCCTGTCCCTGGACGACGGGCCCGAACCCAAGTGGGACTCATGGG